GAACTCGAAGCCTCACACGGGTGCAGACTCCCACCCTAGCCTCTGTGCAGGCCGTGGTGTGCCCTTCCGTCTGGCAGCTTCGCTTCATCTTTCACTGCCACCGTGTCCCAGAGCCCCTTCCTTCGGGTTTGTCCAGTCAGTCTGCTGGCAGCCTCTCACCAAGGAGATACATGGATGCCACAGATCACAACAGCCGCACTTCCTCTGGGCACTGCCCCACAGCCGTGGGGCTGTGCTGTCACCCAGGTGCTCCCCGCACTGTGGTACTGAGGTGTGCAGCTCCTCTCAGGCAACCAGCATGCTCCTAAGTAGATCTGCCTCACTGAATATGGCTATCAATATATATATTTTCGTATTTTCGGGAAGGATCTACAGGGTGTTCAGGGTCTCACTACTAGATTGGACTCATAGTGAGTAGGGTGCGTGCCATCATGCCCAGTCTCAATTGCCATCTCAACCTGCCCTTGGGACAAGGCTGGCATGGCAGGCCTGGGGATTGAACTCCCAGCCCTGCACCTATTTGTGGGTGCTTTAATCCCCTGAGCTATTTGGCCGGCCTGGATGTCAGTGTTCTTAACTTAACCTTTATTGTGGGAGCTAGGGTCCCCTACTAAAACTCCTATTCAAGGTAGTTATGTAGGCAGCTACGTATGAAGAATTTTATCTTGGACCCCAAAGGTCTGACTTTCATCAGTGGCTACTGGGGCATTGAGGGTTGGAGTTGGCCAGGCTGGAAGGACCAGTGATGCCGTTTAGATTGGGGCCCAGGTTGCCATGGGAGCTAGAACAGCCCTTGGACTGTGGCTCACAATGCAGCCCTAATCAACAGTACCCTGCACAGGAAAGCTTCCTGCTGGGCATCCCTGGCGGGGGATTTCTGTACAGCTGGTCGAGACTGACGTCAGAAAGAGGTGTGCCAACCCCAAGAGCAGATGTCATGGAAGCCTGGCACAGCGCATCTCCTGGGCTCTGCTCCAGCCTGGTCGTCAGCAGGTTCTTCTCCCTCAGTGGCCATTTCCTGAGCGTCAGGCTCCGTGAGTCCTTCTGGGAATTCCGGAGCTTCCTCCCTCCCAGACCTGCAGTTGTGGCTCAGGAGTGCTGCCTCATGGGTCTTGATAATTTTCACCTGAAGTTGCTGTGAGATGCGGGGTGCTCTTGGGTCTGTGCCAGGAAACTTCGTAATCGCTCTTCCTTTACTGTGACTGACTCTCCCTTTCTTAGTCAAGAACTTGAGCGTGTATGAGACATAGCTTAACACAACCATACCCCAGGATGTTGCAGGCTTGATTTCAAAGAAAAACAAATACATTTGTGCTCGCGGGGCATACACACACACACACACACACACACACACACACACACACACACACGGCCCCCATTCTACCATCTAGGTGCATTTAAGCAATGCATGTCATTATGTGCTATCCTGAAAGAGCATCAGATTTTGTGCTCTGTCCCCCAAGTTTCTGCCATTGTGAAGATATCACTTATAACAGGAATTACTGCTCACTAGCCTGAGCTGGTTAAGGATGGTTTGTTGGGAAGGAGGGTGGGTGAGGTTTTGATTTGAAACCATTCAAAGTATTCTAATGGAACTCTGCATTAGTATAAATCTCTGTTTTCCTGAGGTGAGCCTGCTCTGGAAATACGCATTTGTCTTTTTCAGTGACAAGAGCATTTTTCTTTTCTTCCTCCTATTTTGTGAAAAGTGACCCCATGTGCCTCCTGGAACTGTCCTGTAATTGGCGCGGCTGCCTCCTGACATCAGCAGATGATTCGGTCAGTTCTGTGAATTTTCCTTTGAACAAAGAGCTGTGTAGCTGCTAGTGACACATGGGGAGAGGGCCAGGGCCACGGCGAGCTCACCCCTGTATGCTAGCCACTGCCCGTGTGCCAGAGACGACACACCAAAAGAGCTGGCCTGAGCTCCGCCATGAGTGCAGCTGTCGCGGTAGACACGCAGCAAGACCCGGCAGGGACCGGAGCAGCGCGGGCCTCACTGACCGCATGCCTGGCAGAGCAAAATGTGGCCACCTGCTTGCCCGCTCGGCCTTGTGGCCCACCCCTTGTGCCAAGCAGAGGCCAAGGCCACTTCCACTGAGGCCAGCACACTGCCTTCATGACCCCTCTTGCACCAGTGGCCTGCAAATCTAGGCTAAAAATGCAGAGCCAGGGAGACTGAGTGACAGCCCCACTGTCACTGACCCCTGGGCCATCCTGGGAAGTTGCTCATTAGTGAAAGGAGGCAGCACCGCTTACTGGAGAGTGTTGCTGTAAAGATCAAGTGAGGGGAACATGTAAAGGACGTGCCTGGCTTGCAATAAATACTCGGTAAATCACAGCTCTGTCGTTAATGCCGTGTGAGGAAGGTATTTTTCAGCCATGAGACTGGATTTAGAAGCTCAGACATTTTTCCAAAGCCTGCTCTGGCTTTTCTTATAAAGCACCCACTACTCTGAAAACGCTTCACTGCTTATGTGGTATATTTAATAAATGAACGAGAGGCACCACTATTGTGTTGTCCTTCTGCAATTGCGTTCAGAGAGGTATTCTGAGAGCAGTGCAATGGTAGCATGGGATGCTTGTGCGACACACACGCGTACGCTCGCACATTCCAGCTGAAAACGTGGATGAGCACGTTCACGGCATGAGACTTTTCCTCACGTCAGCCTAAGGGCAGCAAGGGCCACAGCATGCAGAGGGGCTCCTAGATGCAGCTTTCCACCACAGGAGACAAAGCCCTCTGCACAGTGCTTGCTGAGGTCTGGGTCTGCAGGCGCAATGTGGAAGTTGAGCCTGGACCATCCTGTCTCGTGGAAGAGCAAGTGTGTGCTCGAAGCCCACAGCGCTGCGTCCCAAGGACTCAGAGCCCAACCCGAAGAGCCTTTCCGGTGAAATCCCTGAAATGTGCAGAAATGCACATGGTGCTCGCGAGATCCAAGCGTATTTAAAACAGCAGCAGCCGCAGCAACCGCCGCCTGACAAGTACTGGTAGAAAGCAAGTTGGTCACCAGTGAAAACCGGCTGACCCCAGACATTTTGAAAATGGCAAACCAAAACAAAGCTTTTCCCCTGGAATTTTATATAACTCTAATGCTGAGTAGCTAACTCGTAGCTGAGAGATTTGTCTTTGTGGTAATAATATTCTACGTAAGGAAGTAGAGGGTTCAAACACCGTCATTCCGTATCTCCATTCTAGTATTCAGCATTCTAGTGAATGCTGGTGCCTGAGCCATAAAGGGCTGCTAGGAGCGTTACAAAGGAAGAGACAGCCAACCACTGCGCTCTGCGTTCTTCTACATGGACAGGCGCGCAAAGGCCACAAGCTCGAGGCTGACCACGCCTCCGTTCCAATCAGTAATTAGGAAACAGATAAGAGGAACATGTTGAAGCACAATCAGCAAGACCAGGCAGCGGTCAAGGCCACCACCTGGTGCTCCAGCTTGCCCTGTCCCCAGGTGGCCCCGGCGCTGACTGGGACGCAGGGCCAGGGTGTGAGGCACTGAACCTCAGGCCTGCCCAGGCTGAGTGACCCGAGATCCACGTGACCCAGGTTCTGAGGAACTGTGCAGGGTGTGGAGAAACACGGTCATTTGGCCAAATGGCGATGTCACCAACCTAACCTGCCATAGTAGTCAGGAATCCGCAGATTAGACAACAAACAAGGAAAACTCAACTGCTTGCAACATGCAGACCTTATTTGCATTCTAATTCAAAAAACCTAAAAATACACTTCTATGGCACAAGTGGAAATCCAAACCCTTGACAGGATATCTGGAATTCAGGTTCATTTAAATATGATTAGAGTGTTGTTGTTGTATCTGTGTTACAGTCTTACGTCCTAGCAATGAGCAGAAGAAATTGTTACAGAGGAGATGCTGTAAGGCCTGGGACTGAACTGGACCTGGGACATCACCTGGGCAGGTCGCTGGTGGGGGGCAGGGCACATAGGCCCGCTGTCAGCTGACATGTGCTGGAGCAGGAACACTACCAGCCGGTTGTTCCTCAGGCTGCTCTACTTTTCTACGTGTTGGAAACTTTTTGCAATGAAACTTATTTTAAAGGAAGGTTCCACTGTTAGGAGAAGCTGTGGCCATAGCACAGCACTGGCTGGAGCCTGTGGGCACTGACTGTGTCACCGTGAGCACGGACCTCACCATGCCCCGGCCTTGGCCGCAGGATAACAGCCAGGGAGTGAGCAGCCAGGGAATGAGCCCGACTTCTCCCACCTGAATGGCCCCATCACAGCCTCGGGGAGCAGGGGGAGCCATGGGCAACCCTCCTGCTGAGGTCTGGGCGAGAGCTGGGGCTCCTGCCCTGTGCGGGTAGCCACTTGTCTCCTGCCTTTGGCACGCCATTTATATAGCAAATCTGTGTTGGTGTCCGAAGGTCTTCAAGATCTCTTTGGTTGTCGTAGTGCAATGTGTGCACCAGTGGCAAGAGCCTGGCTGGAGGACCCCGGCCCTCTCCAGAGTGGCGACTGCTGTCTTCAGGAAGGGGCAAGAGGGCATGGCTCAAACAGCAGCTGCCAGGAGCAGGGAAGGCAGCGTGTGAGCGGCGACTTGCCCTCTGAGCTGCAGCGGCTCCATCCTCAAAAACATGCACAGACCCTGAATAGGGCTCTCAGCCACAATGAGATGCTTTGGAAGCAAGAAAAGTAAAATGCATCAAGTGATACAACTGCATGGAAGGTTACACTAAGGTCTATTTACTTCTTGGCTGCATGAAGGGTTTTTTATGTATTTGGTTGTTACAAGGTGTCACTACACAGCTCAGACTCATAGCGATCCTCCTGTTTTCAGCCTCCCCAGCACTGAGATTGCAGGTGTGAGCCACCACGCCCGGTCTGGTGGCCCAATCAGTGCGCCTGGGGGCAGGGCCGGCATGGCATGTGGTACAGGGGATCCGAACCCCTGTCCCTGCACTCGCCAATGCAGGCGCTTAGTTCACTGAGCTATCTCGCTGGCCTCCTCACGGCTTTTTTAAACTTTGTCTCACAGGAGAAGAAAACCTCCTGGCCATTCTGCGGCGAAGGTGGTGGAAGTACTTGATCCTGGGCCTCATTGACCTGGAGGCCAACTACCTGGTGGTGAAGGCCTACCAGTACACCACGCTGACCAGTGTGCAGGTACGTGGGCCCTTCGGGGGGCCGGGGTCCTGCCCCTCCAGAGGGCTGGAGTAAGAGGGAGGCTGTGTGGGAATGAACTCGGGCGTCATGGATTTTCCATTAATTTTCATAACTCAAGTGTAATTGGACAACGCTTTCCTCTGTGTTCTGAATACGCTGTGGTAATCATCAATAATGTGGAAAAAGAACCGATGACTTCAAGGGTTGCCAACTATGGGGCTGGGGAGACGGCTCAGTAGAATAAGCGCTTGCCTGGCAAGCACGAGGGCCTGAGTTCAATCCCCGGTTCCTCCAAAAAACAAACAACAAAAAAAAAGGGTTGCCAACTAGTTTTGTATCAGAAGAACTATTAATAAGTGCAAAAATAAATCTATTTGTATCACAACTTAATGTTTTAGGATGTTAATAGATGAAGTAATCACGCTGCTTAATAATCTTTTAGCTTATTTTTTAATATGTAAAGATTAGAATCTGAAGGAAAAGAAGAAAGATGTGGATAAAATTCCTAAAATGCATAATGCCTGAAGATAGCTACTGAGTTCTATCTTCTCCTTCTCTCCTCCTCCCTCCTCCTCCTCCTCCTCCTCCTCCCCCTCCTCC